GGTAAAGACCACTCAACAAGCCTCCGCCGAAGAAAATGAAAAGAAAAGACCATGCTGTAGCCGAATTGCTTAAGGCGAGACAGGAGGACCCAGAGCAATTTGCGCACATGTTCGATAAAATCGGTGAAGTGGAAGACGAAACTGATTTATTTTTTAAATCGATCAGTTTGACGGTGAAGCGTATGAATCAAGATGTAGCGAATGAGCTAAAAACTAAAATATTCTCACTTGTAATGCAATATGAGTCAATAAATAGGCATCGCCAAGATTTACAATCGACCTCATCATCAGGTGCTTCTTATTGCTCAACACCAGTACCTGAACCAGAACCAGATGGATCCGATGAGGTGCTTATTTCAAATGCCCTGGGATTTACAATCGACCAGTTTTAAAATAAAGTTGAGATACTCTCACAATGTACAAAAATATTTCAAATAAAGAGGTTCCTACTCAGGTAGTATATATTTTAAGGCCACCTCAAAGTAACAGCCAGTTTTTCTGCTGTTGTTATGGGCTTTGATACTCGGTTGTAGGCATGAACTTCCATTTTGTGCTCGATCAGAGATAACAAATAATTGAATTGTTCACGAGTAACTCTGAAGAATTCAACGAACTTCGTCTCATCATCAATCAGATGATTCCTTATTAACACGTTGAAAGCTCCTTCTTCTTAGGGATTTCATCTCGTTTCCCGTACTTGGTGAGAAGATAATTCTCCTCCTCTTCAGACTTTTCATGAAAATACTTGTAATAGGCCACCAATATCCTAAGTTTCTGGGTACGAGATAGTCCACTCCGCGACATGATTCGGCTGCAATTGAACGCTGTCTGGAAAACACTCCCCGCTTCCGCACGACTAGACCGAATGGGCAGGCGGAATTCGGTAAGCCGCTGCGGAATATAACCCGCCGCTAGGAAAACGCCGCTAGGAAAACGCCGCTTTAAGGATGATTTAAATAGTGCATCTACGGATGAGCATTCTACACGACAACAAAATGAGCATGATATTTTTGGAACTTTTGTTAGTAGCCAACTGAAAATGTTATCTACTGCACGAGCTATTATGGCTCGGGACAAAATCAATGCCATATTATCTCAGTTTCGTATGGAAGATCTAATCTGCGTAAACACCACATTTACATGCAAGACGCCTAGTACTCATTGCTCTTCAGATTCACACACAACAATTAATACAATTCCACTTACATCAGGAGAGTCGGTTTTGTCAATAATTACAGAAAATGAAGATAATTATCATTACGACAAAATCCAATCGACGAGATTAATTTCGATTTTTTACGCCAGGACAATGAGAATCCTTTTGCTGTAGCATTCCGCAATGCATAATTTTTTATATTCTTATGTGTAATTTTGTGATAAATAAAAATATAAAGTTATTATTAGTACTAACCTTTATGTTTTCTTTCAATGCCTTGAAGAGTTCTTCACATACCTCTGGTATGTATTTAGATATGGATCACCTTGAAACCCGATAAAAGTGACTCAGTCTTCTGTAACTGATGCCGGAAGAAAAAAATCTAATTTGATCTCCAATTTCACTTTTGCTGGTAAGGCCTCTCTCATAATAGTATGCTGCCGTTGAAGTTTTGGCAGCACAAGACTCAACAGAATATCAAACATATCTGGCATCATTCGTAGAATACTGATATACTCTTTTACGTCTTCATTGCGAAGTCCTTCTAACACCAGTGCGGATGATCCACGTTCATTCCTTTAAAATCCATGGTCTTCTCCAAACGGGTTTTTCCTATAAAGCTTCTGTGAATTCATCAAATGCAATTTGGCACAGTTTCCGAAGTAATTGTTTCAGTCGAACATTGTTTGTTTTAGAAATATTTTTCATTTTCAGTGGATTTATTGCTCTATTGATCTCTGCAATAGTACTGGCTACTGGCCTAAAATTTCCTAGCATCCTAGCAACATGTAAACCGTTCTAGCATGCGCCAAGCCAGAACAGTAACTCAGGCTAGGATACCGGAATATCTAGCTTGCTATCCTAGCTTGAAAAACTAGCCTCGTGTAATCCGGGCATAAGTGATGTTAAACTTCATATGTTAATAAAGTGTGATTCTCACGAACGTGTTTATATGTCATTATTTTTTATTATACCCACTATAGAACAAGCTGGTTATCGTAGATGCAAACAAACATTGAGTCAACTGGCCGCCATTTTGAATGTAATTGTGACACTAGGGCAGAGAGGACTGCTTACGGTCATCTGTGCCCCCAAAGCGGCCCGCTGTACCCCAAAAGTGTTTCTAAATGCTCTTTAGGAAGTCTCTCTCTCTCTGTGTGTGTGTGTGTGTGTGTGCGCGTGTGAGTGTGCGTGTGCGTATGCGTGTGCGTATCAGTGTGCGTGTGCGTGTGTGTGTCTTATATAAAACTCTACTGTGGCTACTGCTAAAAATTGTGGCGCTTGCACACGTCGCCACAGACATTTTATGGAATTATCGCTACTGGCTCATTTCAACCAATGAAATCGCTAGTTGGCGAACGTCTGCCTGCCAATCAATTGTGATCCTCAAGCATTCTTACCGTTAGATCAATTATTCTGAATTTTATGGCCGATTTAGATCCAAACAAACCAAGTTGATATAATATATTTTGCGGTTTTATTTTTGAATTGTTGATAAATTGGAAAATATATCAACAAAAATACTAAGCTTTAATAACTCGCATGTTCGCAACTGTTATTGCTAGAGTATTGAACTCTTAGTCACTAGAATTTTGTATCATATTGTGTTCCCATCCATATACTTTTCTCTCTCACTCTTTCAATTCTCATTCACAATTTTTTTTGATATTGGCCCTAAGGGAGCTTGTACGACTGGTTTATGACTTACAGCTAACCTTTTTTCAATGTGAATAACTAATATTACATTGACTTTCAAAATAAGAAATAGCATTGAAATGGTAATGACACATTGTTAGATTTTGTGTATTTTTATCGACAATTAAATCTACCAAACCTTATGCATTGAAGTCGGACATTCAGGAAGGTGTCCTTGTGTTTTTAGTAAACTAAAAACCAATGATACAAACACGTATAAGACCTATATCAGAAAAAAGCTTGTAACGTGTAGAATCAAAATGTATGAAAATATAGTACACAAAGGTTATCTGTAACTCATAAACTAGTCATACAAGCCCTCTAAGCCTGATTAAAAAAATGCGTATTCGACCATCCTGCATAAATTATAAAAAACACCATTAAGTTGATACATATCCAAACAACCAATGTTTTTAAGCCGTTATATTATTGTCTTGCATCTCGGTAACTTGCTGAATCAGTCCAGCTTTTATCGAATTATATCTATCATTGTAGATCAAGAAAATTACTCAGTCTACTCAGAGAAAATTGCGTATTCGACCATCCTGCATAAATTATAAAAAACACCAGTACAAGTAAGTAGGTACAGACAAAACATAGAATCATGAAATTTCTCTGACGAAAAATTCAGTTCTCCAGTTATAACAGCTATAGCTTTTTTTCGATAAAATGTCCAGTATCTCAACAATTGGAAAAAATGACTCTATAGTATATAAAATTACTTCGTTACAAATGGCCTATCCAAACCTGTCATACACTGTATAGAAATAATTTTCAAGTTAGGAGCATACTGCTGTACTCACCCTGTATATCATAGTGTTTTAAAATTTGGTAGGCCGTCGCGCCTAGAGTGAGTCGAAGAGCGTCTAATTCATTCACCAACAACATTAAGTTGATACATATGCAAACAACCAATGTTTTTTAAGCCGTTATATTGTCTTACATCTCGTAACTTGCTGAATCAGTCCAGCTTTTATCGAATTATATCTATCATTGTAGATCAAGAAAATTACTCTGTCTACTCAGATGATAAGACTGAAACCGAATACATTCCGTCCACTAATTACGAGTCCTCAGCGGAAACACCGATAACAACTACAATATACCCTGAGGTGGATCGAAAAAGAAATATGTTGAACCCAATATTTGACAATACTTCGAAGGCTGACGAAAAAGAATCGGATGGAAATGTCTACTGGAACCCAGCGAGGGGACTACTGAGTGTACCTTTAAGCCCTTTGAAAGGAAATGAACGAGTAGAGAATTGGCTGGTGCAAACCCCTCAAAACGATGCCCTTAAATCAGTAGAAACTAGTTGTGAAGATAAAAAAAATACACAATATACTGGAAGCGTAGAAGGGGTCAAGTCAGACACTATATTGAGCGCTGGGAAAAAATTGAGATAATACAAAATATTATTTTGAACTCTGATAATACTCGCAATAGATTTTTACCTGCGGATGAAGTCAAAACCGTGAAAGAAAGGGCCACGACGTGGTGAAAGTCTTCAAAAGGGTCAGAAAGCAGAACTGACTGACATAGAAAAGCGAACCTATTTTGAAGACGTTATTCCTAGACAAACAGATTTCTCCGAGGAAGAAATTGTAATAAATACCGCAGAAAAGGAGGGTAAGTGTACGGCCAGACTGAATTGCGGGCGGGCGTGAAGCGGGCGATAAGCGAGCGAGCGATTTTTTCAAAAGCTAATGCACAGATGTAAATAGCCACGCCGACGCTTAGCGGGCGGGCAAAAATTAAGCGTGCAGCGTGCGATAAAAGAGTAATTAAACTTGTTTGAAATTCTAGCGAGCGTGTTTGGATTTTTGGATAGTTTGCTGCTGTGTTTCTCGTAAAACAGATGTAAATAAAAAGAAATAAAATCTGTAGCAGTAATAAACATGAACAGAAGGAGCTCCTGATATCTGAAGTTCATACCAGAAGACCTTTGTGGCAAGATAGTCACCCTTTATATAAGAATAAAAATGCTGTTGATAAATTATGGCAAGAAGTGGCCGAAGCATGTAATTGTAATGGTAAAGGAAACACTTTTTTGAACACAGGTCTATATTATACTTATCAATATGAACGTATATAATTATTTAATTACACACACAATCACATAATTATTTAATACATAGTAGATGTGTAATTAAGTTGGCAAGTGGAATAAGTAGTCAGCAAGTTGTTCTCGAATTTCAATTGCTCTTGAACTCCCTCGATTATTCCTTCTTCCATTAAAGGCAGGTTGATTATTTTCCTGATATTGCTCCGATATGTGACGATAGTGGAGATCACTGTCGCCATCTTTGTCTCTTACTAAATTATGCAGGATGCAAGCACACTTAATAAGTATGCAAGCTTTGTCAGGCAGTGTTTCTATGTCTTTATTTAAAAAACGCCATTTGGCACACAGTATTCCAAAAGCACACTCGATACATTTTCTAGCAGTGGAGAGGCATTTGTTAAAGTATTCTTTTTTGGGATTAAGTCCGCGTCTCGGATAAGGCCTCATTAAATATGATTTTAGAGGGTACGCTTCGTCACCTATTAAAAAATGTGGAAATTCTATATTTGTGTTCGGTGAATTAGTAGGACGAGGGACATTAAACAAATTACTTTCTAACAAATTGAATCGTTGATCCTGCAAATGTTCCACCGTCACTTTGTTTACCACGGCCTCCAACTTCAATGGTTAAAAATTTTTTGTCCGCACCTGCTACAGCTTGTAGCATGACAGAGAAATAGTGTAGATAATTAAAATAATGAGATCCAGAATTTGGTGGGCATCTTATTTGACAGTGTTTTCCATCTATCGAACCGAAACAATTTGGAAATTTCCATCGATTAAAGTAGTCAGCTATAACTTTCTTTAAACAGTTCTCAGTTGGAATTGGCATAAATTCTTCCACTAGTTCTTCCCAAATAATTTGGCAGGTTTCGAAAACTATGTTGCTTATTGTAGATTTTCCCATTCGAAAAGCAAATGCTAACGATCTGAACGAAAAATCTATAAATAAGTATAAATATCACCAAAAGTTGTGTAAATATAAAAATCATAAATTAGCTATAATAGTGTATTAAATTATATTTTCTTTTTAGTTACGGATGCCAAAAACAGGTGGAAAAATTTAAAAGATCAGTTCAGAAAGGAGGTGAAAAAAATACCCGTTCCCAGATCGGGAGCCAGTGCACCACCTGTAAGACCAAAGTGGCAGTATTTTGAACAAATGTATTTTTTAAAAGATTTTGTTACTCCTTCCGTGCGAAAGACAATGATAACGCCGATTTACTGTTCTTTAAAAGTTTATTGCCCCATATGGCTGATTTCACAGAATTTGAAAAACTAGAAATTAAGTCGGATATCATGTCATTAATTTTGAAGAAAAAGAAAAAAAACTGCCAGAGCAGCAGCAGCAGATTTTACAACTTCCGCATTTGGCAACTGGTAACTTGGAAAACCAAGCAGGCGGCAGTAACGACCCAGGTTCATATTTAACGTATAATATTATATAATGTAGTTTTTGTTAGAAAATTTGGTTAATTAGCCTGTTATAATAAAATTAAATAAAATCTTTTATTATACTAGCATTTCATTATTATATATAAAAAGAATATATTCTTACCTTAATGTTACTACCAGTCTTTCTTCTGCTGATATAGGAGATCGATAATTTGTCGTAATTTTCGTAAGCCTCCTATTAACCTTACTTAATAAAAAATCATATGTGCTTATGGACATTCTTAAGTATTCAAAGAATTTTTCCGGGTATTCTCTTAATTCGACGTATAGGTGGTGAAATTCTCCAAATTTTTTTCTCCTTTTATTAATAGGATGTATTCCATATCTACGAGACTTCTCCAAAAATAATTTCCACTTCATATAGGGGTTACTGTCTATTAAAATATTTCTTTTTAGTTTTGATAAGGGCGCCATGTTTACTGGCGACAGAACACAACTAATCTGCGATTTTCTATTTTTAGTATGGCCAAAAAATCGCCTTGCAAAAAATCGCTCGCTCGCTTATCGCCCGTTTCACGCCCGCCCGCAATTCAGTCTGGCCGTACACTAAGAGGTTCAGGAATAAAGTGCATTCATGTTATTTTTGTATGAAGCTGTTTCAGAATGTGCCAAGGCATTTCTAAACGATTCACTCATCTGAAACGATAGTTGCCAAGGTATTGGCAATGGAGAAGAACTCCAAAATAAGAAAGAATGCCTTCGCAGAGTTGATACGGGTAGGTGACTTTAACCACAATTGCGAGGTTTTGTCACTAAATAGAGGAGAGTTGATCTTAGTTCGGCGACCCACCGAGCTAGAGGCTAAGTCTCTATCTTACAGCGGTTATGCATCTTGTCCCAAATGTTTGGGTTTTTGCTAAAAAGATACCATACCCGAAATTGCGAGCTTCAAGGTAATGGAGAACCAAATGGTAGCAAAATGGTTGTTGCAGAGAGTAATGCAATTTTGAACGAAATATTTGGTAAACAGCTTTCTAGAGAATTTTCATTGGAGATTCTTGGGAAGATGTGAGAAGACGATGCTGTGTTAATGATTCGCTTATAATAAAATTTGGCGCTCTCATGTTTGAAAAATACGACGTCACTCAAGGGGCTCTTATTCGCCAATCAATGCGACGGCTAGGTAAGTAAGCTTTTTGCTGTTGTAATGCTGTTTAAATGAGTGTCGCCAACTTAAATACCTTTTACATAAATAATAAAATAATTGTTCATGAAGCATGAAGCAGTATTTAAATAAAATTCTTCTGTTTTTTCCAAAGTAAAGGTGGGGATGCGTAATTCTATAAACTATATGTGAAAAGGTAGTTGAATTGCATAAAAAGTATTGTCTCCACTTCTGAATTCTATATCATGCTGATAGAACTACATGTCTTTTTACCACATACATTTTTCGGGTACCACGTTTTAATTTGAAAATGTCCACATTTGTGGCCCAAATTTCATTAAAAAGCAATTATAATATGTAGTTTCATTCATTGTTAATATCAAAAAGAACAGATTGTGGAATAGCTGGCAATAACCCATATATATTTGCTTGCTCGAAGAATTCGACTCAATCCTTAAGGGGGCATGATTCTCTTTCGAAGATGTGCAAACTGGCTGACTTGAGAAATCCTGAACTGATTACAGCAACTAAGCTAAGAAAATATGTGGCTACCGTATGTCAGGTATTTATGTTATAAGAAAAATGTCATACATTATCTCAACCATTTTATGCAAAAGTCGATTGAATTCATTATATTGCTTTTCGGACACAATGAGCAGATTTTACTTTCAGTTTTAGCAATAATGCATTATAGCTGAATGCTATTCAAACAAATTTTATTTCCATACTACACTCTAAAAACGATTTTTAAATTTTCAAAAACTACAGCACCTCTCTAACCACCCATGTGAGAGTCCATTGTATTTATGAACTGTGTGCAATAAATATTGAATCATGTTAGATACCTAACATTGATTTTTTAATATTGAAGTAAGGATAAATTTTGATATGGTGAGATGAATGGCTAATACAAAGCTCAATCAATCCGGAACCAATTTAAATAACATACCCGCTACCTAACTCACAGCATCGGAATCCATTACCAACTTGACTTTAGTATTACTGCAACACCCCACGTTATCTGTATCTTAATTTTTTCTTGATCTTAGGAGGTTGACGCCGGTTTATTTCCCACGCTACTGTCAAAGTTTTGTAATCGCGAAAAATGTCTAAAATGAGACATTGTCTTTTGGATGTTAGACGTATATTAGAAAAAAACATATCACTCATTTCCATCGATCTGTCGGTCTATCTATCTGTTTGCTTATCCTTGACCCCGCTATAATTTGGAAAGGACTGGATGGATTTCCATGTAATTTGCAAACAAGGCTACTGCTGTGCCAAAGACAAAAATGGCCAAACTCCTTAATTTAATTTTTCTCAATCAATATTGTTTTTTACTGATACTTATTCTACTTTGTGATTTTATACAAAAGTACAAAGGAGTACAAGACATCGAATAATGAAGATGCATATTTATTCAAAGTCCATTTATCCAGAATTGCGTGGGAAATACCGAGTCAATCTACTAGACATCAATTCTTATAATCAAATACCTTAAAGCATGTTATTCTATTTTAAAGGTGTTTGATCTGACTGAAACCGAATCAGACTGGTTAGCCAGACATTTGGGCCACGACATACGGGTCCACAGAGAATTTTATCGTTTACATGAGAGCACCGTGGAACTGACCAAAGATAGTAATTTGCTGATGGCGGTTGATGAAGGAAAAGTGAGCACCTTCGCTGGGAAGTCACTAGCAGATATAGACATAGATGATAAATGATTTATCAACATATGTAAG